CTGTGAGTAACCCTTACACTCACTCCTGTAAGTAATCCTCACACTCACTCCTGTAAGTAACCCTCACACTCATTCCTGTGAGTAACCCTCACACTCATTCCTGTGAGTAACCCCAATAGAACTCATTTGTTCACCAAGTTGGAGTTTAGAGGTATCAATACTTAGGTCTGTCATGGGGTCCCTATCTGGGGTGAGTAGGACAGAGAGGGAGAGAGAGAAGGAGAGAGAGAGAGAGAGAGAGAGAGAGAGAGAGAGAGAGAGAGAGTTATTTGAGTCTCCCCAAGAAAACTGTGTCACATAACAAAGACTAATCTGGCTCTAGTAGTTCCTTATAAATTTAGATATTTGCATATTACTACCATAACAATAGCATTTATCTTATTTGTTCTTTAGGTCACATACAAATAATTTTTCATAATTTCCAAAGTGCTGGTCTTACAACCTTTCTGCCTCCTCTGCCAAGTTGCTAACTGAGCCCTGGGGAAGGGTTTGATGAAGACATCCCATTTAGGACTGAGTTTTCTGAAGGCTCATACTTTCTGCACATAACCAACTATTTTATCAGTTAATGTCAATTTGGAATGTGCCTAATTTATATTTACAGTCTCTTCAGTTGTAAACAAACTTTGTTCTGTTAATTTACGGCTTTTGCCTTTCCAGTTAGTAACGGACTGATATTGACCTGCTTTTCATTATATGGGGATTTTCAGACTGGTGAATGCATGTGGATTTAAAATTGACTAAAATGTGACTTTCCCCAAAGGATTTGCCTAGTGACTGCTTGCTCATTCATTCATTCATTCATTCATTCATTCATTCTACCTTTGGCTTTTCTGTCTGCTAACACTGACCTAAGTTTGCTGGGAATATCACCCATGAGTGGATGGAAGACACTTTCAGAAATTACAAACTAAGGTCAATGTTCTTGCTAATGGCGAGCATAATTTTGCCCAGTCTGCTCTGGGACTCACTCCACTGCCCTGACATCAGATGCCCTGTCCTTTGGTTCCACTTGTAGGTGAATCAGAGATTCTGTAGCGGGCCCAGGAGCTGTGGGAATCTTGCACTCAAGTTCCTCTTCTCTGGTCTCTCTGGTGTTTGCTAGAATAGAGCCGTGCTGTGCACAGCTGTCATGGCACCTGCCGTGTGACACCGGTAAAGCTGGCTCTCAGTGGATGGATGTATTGATGCCATTTTTTTGGCAATCAGATGGGATTGTTAAAAAGTTAGCATGTGTTTCCTTCATTCCCTCCATGTCTCTGAATTTAGAAAACTGCTAGAGTCATAAGATGTTCATAAAGCCTCAGCATTTTCTGTAGCAGGAGATCAAATTCACAACCAAAACAAACAAGCAAACAAACTCACTCCCAAACAGGCAGAGGCATGCCTGTTTGGACAGGCTAAATGAATTTGGTACTTTTAGTTGTATTAATTATAATCAGTGAAATCCCTTGAGGCTTTTAAAACTAGAACAGGCATAAAAATGTATGTAATTATACACAAACATATTGCATAGATGTTCAGAAGATAACGGCCTTACTGAAGACATTCACAAGAAGTAAAGGGGTCACTAGTACCTGTAAATACAATTGCAAAATCAACCATGGGCTAGAACAGAGGAGGAAAACGTTGTAGATGTATAGTGTTTGCTTTGACTAGAAAGAGGATATGTATATGTGAAAGTAAACACCTGAGCAATATACAAAATTGTTCTGGGGCAGGGTGGGAGGAGAACTGAATTTTTGTTCCTATCCTGAGCAAATGGAGTTTAGCAGATGAGAGCTCTATCTTCCATACCTGCCCTACCGGACTTGAGCTACAGAGGGCGCTGTGGTCCGCAAGGGCTGTTGGCAAATCCAGCTCTTTTTCATCCATGTCCCGAGGTTAGCAGAGCTGGCCAGGCGGCAGGCACACTGGAAAGGAACAAGACCAGTAGTGCCTTGTTGTGCGGTTATTGTAGAACCTGCTCCTGAGACCGTTGCTCTGACGGTTGGTGACCGCCCCGCGGTGGAGTGGGCGGTGTCATGTCGCCCACGTGATCCTGGATGACATCACGGCCACAGTGGCCTTGGTGGGTGCTAGATGAAGCTGGCTGTGCCACACCGTAGAACAGGTGCAGAACCACATCCCGAAATGGGAAGGCGCTCTATTCCAGTCTTGGCCTAAGGTCTCAATGATCTCCGTGACTTTCGGTCCCTTCGGCTTCCCAGAGTTATTCGCGCCGCCCTGCTTTCTGGGGTTTCAGATCTGTCGGTGGAGCTTGGTCCAGCACCGAAGGGCGCCTTGTGGACAAGGCTGACGGTATTGAATCGCCCCTTCATCACAGGGACCCGCAGTCCTCAGGTTGCTATTTAGACACAGAGAGCTTGAAAGATCCAGTCTGAGTTAGAGACCCCCTGTGCTAGGGACCAACTGAGAATGTTCTGTCACTTCCAGGACTCTGGAGGCTGGGGTGTCATTTGAGGGAGTTTCCCCTGACATTGTCGTCTGTGGATGGTTTTATGGCTTTTTAACCACTGGTGCTGGTGACCCCTTTACTTCCAACAACTCTCTGCTTCCCCTTCCCAGAGTTTGCTAACACGTTTATTTTATCTTCTGAATGTCTCTAGAGTCTGGCAGCTTCCCTCTTTGAGGATCCCAGTGTAGATGTTACCTAACCCAGGCAGAAGAGCCCTGTGTGTGTCAGGTTATCTAGTCTCGCTTTCCTCTGTACATTTTTGCACAAGAAAGCCTAAATATGGTGAATTACTTAAAATTGAAGTCAAGCTGGAAGACAGCTCCAAGACCTTACATTTTTCACAAATTAATAATCAACTCCTTGTCATGGATTATGACTCTAAGTTCTACCAATCGCAGGTCCTCGATCTCCAGCCTGGCCTCTTGCACTCAGTCCTCACTTTGCTGATCTTCACTATACTGAACGAGCCCTGCTTACTGTGATTCATGGACATAAACTGCCTCAGCTCTGTCTCCACCATGCTGACCTCCTGCATGGTGGAAGTTGTCTATTCATAACAGAATTTGGAGTTTTCTGCAGCTTGAATTGGTGTCAGTTGTGTGGAGACTAAAAATACTAACGTGAAAGGATAGAATTTGGCTCTTCCAGCTGGGGTGAATGTGCGCATCACCACTCCTTAGCATTTCCACTGAAAGTTTAGTTAGCATACGAGACACAAGGTTTCGTTACATTCTCATGCACACGATCATTGCACTTTGCCTACATTAACTCCCCCGCTGCTCTCCTCTGTGTCCTTTGCACGTCTCACTGATTCCCCTCCCCCAATTTTAAATGTTCATTCCTATATATGTGTATGCATATATGTGTAGTGTATGTGTATAAATTTAAATTCTAAGTGTCAGAAACCACTGCTACTTGCCTTTCCTTTGTCCCCAGCTCCATCTCTCGTTGCCCCTCCCCTCCTTTTAGACCCTTTCTTCCTCTGACAAAATCACCTTTTCCTATCATGCTATTTATACCACCTTAGTATTGGATGCCAGGCTGAGTTTTATCAGGGATACAGAAGTTCTGCCCATCCCTGATTTGGGGTATTGCCTATTGGTGGAGCCCCCTGCACTGTTTTGTTGCCTTGTATCTATTTTCAAGACAAAGGAAGAAGGAGGAGGAAAGTATAGGCTGTTATTAGAAGAGCTGTGTGCTAAAAGGCAGAGCCGAGAGAAGGGACATGCCATGTGGGCTTGGCCGCCCATCTTAAAGGCGCCTTCATTCAATGAAAAAGATGAGAGCAGCAAGCAAACTGGCCAACCACAAGCCCATGTCACAGGTAGAAAGAGTACCTCCAGTGCACAAGCCTGGACCCATTTTGCTGATTTCCAAGTTCCTTTGTGAAAGGTAAGTGAAAGTTACCTCAGGATTCTTTCAGAACCCTCAATTCCCACGGAGAATACCAGCTCTCAACCAGGCTACTCTCCATTTGCCTTTCTTACAGTAAGGTGACTGTATATTAATTTGCTAACCAGAAATGAAACTCACTGATCAATATGACCTTCTTTCATATAATTTTAAGGAAAGGCCTTAAATGTAATACCCTAACTATGATATAAAGATTAAACCAAATTTATGAAAATGTGTTTCAATGTGTGACTGTGTTGGGTTGACTACACTGGAAGCATAAATAGTATAGTATTCCCTAAGATACTAAGGTGCTTACTACTGGAATCTCATGAAAATGAAGGTTCCAGGGAACAAAATGTTATGAACATTTGTGAAATGGAGTTATTTGCTCAAGAATAGATAAATAGGAATTCTTTCGTGTATTAATATTCATATTCTAAACACATTCAAGAGTGGGACACAAATGAGCACAGAAATACATAGGTGAATATATGTTTCCATGTGTGTATGTGTATCACAGCACGCATTGTGTTTTAAGAGTGTAATTGCAGCACTTGAAGGCAGGTCAGAGGAGATCACGATATCTAAGCCTGCCTGATCTTCTAAACAAGTTCCTGACCAACATGGGCTACAGAAAAATGTTTCAAAGACTCCAAAATGAGGGTTTGGAGAAAGCATGGGCGTAAGAGAGCTTTGCTGTGCAAGCGTGAGGAGCTTGGTTTGAATATCGAGCACCTGGCTAAAGAGCCAGGCGTGGCTGCTTGTTCCTGTGATCCCAGCTTAGAGGGTGAGCGGAAGTCAGGAAGATTCTGAGAGCTTGCTGACCAGCCAGACTAGCCAAAGTGATTTGGCTGACCAGCTTTCCTTGAAGCTTTCTCAAGGCCATAGATAGAGAGCGGTAGAGGGAGACACCCGACATCCTGTCTGCCCTCTACACACATGGGAATGACTGTGTGCACCCATATATGTGCTTCTATGACACATATAAACTCCCCCAAGCTACACAAGACATTCACATATATCTGAATGTGCATTTTCTCTCTTCCCAGCATGGAAGAGAGATTGTGATGGGGCTTCCATAAGAGAGGAGCCTGCCCGTTTTATGGGCCTCATTGTGTGCCCATCTCACGGGGCTGGAAGAACAACACGATGCAGTGGAGGATTTGGAACACATGCTTATTCTCTCTTATTTCATGCCCTAAGAGAAGTTTAAAGTGGAGCTTGTTCCGAAAGAATGCTTTTCTCCTTTGGATTCTTTTAACAAAATCAGAGAATTTTAATAAGATTTGAGGATTAATTTGACATGTACTAAATGCTGTCATAAAACAGAGTTCAGCAGAACACTTGTTTTCTAAGAATGTTGGTGGAGTTTTTGGTGTACTTGTCTTATCTGAGTGTAGTGTGTGCATGACTGCAGGTCTGCCTGTGCACTTACGTGGACTAGCAGAGGTCATTACATGTCCATCTCTATCACTCTTTCCCTGTTCCTTTGAAAATCCTCCTTTGAGGCAGGATCTCTCCTGGATCTTGGAGTTCACAGGCCTTTCTGCTAAGCCAGAGCTCAACAAGACTCACAACACTTCTGTCTCCGTCTTGGTCAGGGCTGGGCTTACAGGTGCACATAGGACACTGGGATTGTTAAGGAGCTGCTGGTAGCTTAACTCTGGTCTGCATCCTTGCATAGCGAATTCTCTGGAACACCCAGACTTCTCTTCATCCCCAGAACTCTGTTTTAGTATTTTAAATATTCATTTCTTTGAGAATTCATTGGTTTCCATCTTGTACTAATGTGAAATCTGGTTTTCCCCCCCATGGGTGATCTTTGGCAGGAGTTTCCTAGTTATATGTTTTTTACTTGCTATCTCAAATGGAGGTTGGGATTTTGAGACTGAGGCAGGAGGATAATGACTTTAAAGCCAGCCTAGGCTACGTAATGAAACCATTTGGGGGAAAGAAAGGAGGAGGACTGGGGCAATAACTAAGTCAATAAAGTTCTTTACCTGTTCAGGGAGGTCCAGGTCAGTCAGAGACACTTATCTCAAAAAGCAAGTTGGTTGGCTCCTGAGGAAGGATGCTCAAGGTTGACCCTCGGCCTTTACATGTGTGTACCCACAGGATCATGAGACACAAACAAGAGACAGAAGAGACAGGAATGGAACTGCAGTGTTTACTCATTGTGCCTAAATATGGTTCTTCCTCCTCCTCAAGTCTACCCTGTAATCATGAAACACTGTTCTTCCCATTCCCATCACCTCCCCTCCGCCCCAGCCCTAACCCTAATGACCTCCGATTCCTAGACGCTCCGTGCTGAGTGAGTGAATCACACCGAGTGAGAACTGCTGGCTTCTGTGGACTCTTTCCCCGGGCTTTAGACAGCACAAACACCATTTCCCCATCCCGTTAGTCCTCAGGTTCTGCTGTTCACAGCAGGAAGTTCATAGCAAGCCCAACAAAGGACTTTTTAAAGAAAGGGCAGTGAAAGTGTAGCGTCACTGTTGATGGTGACTGCATTTCAATATGCTGCCTGTTTCTTTGCTGCACATCTTATATAGCTGGGGCGACCCTGGTTCTATCCTTCTGTGTGCATTTTATTGCATGGGGTCTTTTTCGGGACAGGGTCTCACTGTCAATCACAGACTGGCCTAAAGCCGCAGAGCTGCTTCCTGTGCCTCTGGATGTTTCACCTCTCTTTCTGTTTAGTTTATTGGCATAACTGAACATTGTCATTGTGCGGTAGGGCTTGTCTTTGCTCCTGAATTTTCTGCTTTAAGCTAATATTGGTACTATAATTTTACTATTTAATTTTTTTTATTTGAGATTTCATCCTACACTGCAAAGAATAGGTCTGAATTTCTAGGCACAAGTCATCCTCCTGCCTCAGGCTCTAGTGTACTGGAGTCACAGACAGGTCAACCCACACCTCTGGAGAAAGTAATAAAAAATGAGATAAAATTAGGAAAACTGTTTGTTTACTTGGGGAGTGAGAAGGAAGGCAGTAAAGAGTCGATCTTCTGCCCTCCCTGGCTCCCTTCCTGCACCTTCACCACGTGCAAGCTGGGGTGACTCTTGGCCACACCACCAGCAGGCTTCACAGTAGTCAA